GGTACATAATATCTGATCTTAGAAAGAATGCCCTGGAAAGAATTTCTGGTTTGATTAAGTCGCACTCTTGGAATAATAGATATTTGTTTGTAGTGTGGTGCCCATGGGTTCTGTTACAGCCTTCTAGGAAGTGCTTGAGGTCAGGATTGGCATTACAGTTCAGAGTTTTATATACAGATAGTACACTTGAGAGGATGTACAGTGACTAACAAACTGTATGAAAAACATTTTGGCAGTCTAGGAAGATGCAGTTTACCCATCCTTGTCTTATTTTGGTGACTTTGTCATAGTTTAATCAAGTTTGTTAGGCATGAATTTCCTCTCAGAAGCCATGTTATATCTGTTATAATATTTATTCTCAAAATGTACTACAATTCTATTTCTGCTCATCTTTTGTAGAATCTTACATGGATTTCATGTTAATTAATGACACAGCTTTAAAGTTTAGTTCTTTATGTTTGTCCCTGTCTTGAATATTTGAACTTTGTTTGCCTTTTTGTTGTAGCTTTCCAATCTCTAGTATAATCCTGCAGCTTTCTTTAGTAACCATTTATTTATTTATTTTATTTATTTATTTATTTATTTATTTATTTATATACAAGAAGGTACATTGGGTTAGAGAGAATGCATAGCATAGTATTTACAATCTTGTAAAGCCACTAGTACGCGCAGCGCTTCGGGCAGGTCCTTAATCTAACAGATAATTTTAAGTAGGTAAATTCTAGCAGAATTAATAAAATAAGATACATTGCAAGAAAAAAAATGAGATGAGAGAGAATAGTAAGTATATTAAAGCTCTGGTTGATTATATTGACAACTTGATTGTAATTTAAACAAGATTAACAGACACCGTTCCCATTATGATGATGATATCTGATCTGTTCCTACTCCTTTTGCTGCACCTAGTTCTTGCAGGTATCTTTTTACCTCGTCTATATCAACTTCAATTGTGTAGTGTTGTTTTGGTGAGATGTTGACACCCCTACTAGGACACCAATCTGATATTGTTTTGTAGGGCTCTTGGAACCTCTTATTGAGCTCTTCATAATGATTATGGAACTGAGAAAGAACAATCTTGCTCGAAACCCATATGACCTGGTTTGTAAAGCTCATTGTTCTTCAATATGTTGCCAGGTTTGTGCTCATGTTAATATCAGTTATATTGTCTGAATTTTTGAAAATCATTCATAAACAAGGTATCCAGATCTTAAACTTTAAATTGTTTATTGGGTTGCTAAAAATTGCCTTATACTTTTCTTTTAGGTCTTTTCTTTTCTTCTTACAGTTTTGTTACAATTTTATTTCTATCAGTCTAGGATGATCACTTCACCTTCTGTTTCTTCAGTCTCCTTATTTATATTTAAATAAGGATATTTATTTATATTTAAATTTAATATATATATTTATATATATACAAGCCTAAATCTTAAAATTGCTTATAGCACTCATTTTGCCTCAAATACATACTTACATGATAATCACTCATTTGCTGTTGTTAAAAGTTTAGTGTCTCTTCTATCTCTGCCCTAAACGTTCAGACATTGGATGGTGGTGTTGCCAAAAAATGAAGCCCTAGAAGGAAAGTGAGAGACTAACTTTCCTTCTAGTGAGGGACGGTTATTGGAGGCCTCAGGAAGCAAATGTGAGCCACTGTGTATGTGCAGGACTATTTATAATATATTAAATCAGCAAATCATATAAATAAATAAAAATTAATATGTTTATTCAGGTAAAGTACATACATACATACAAGTGATGTTACATTAATGGATTGATATATAGATAGAGCTAGTACATACAATGCCAAAAGCCACTATTACGCAATGCGTTTCGGGCAAGAAAAACATTAATATCTAGAACTTAATACTAATTGAGCATAAAGAATAAAAAGTGTTGAGAACAAATACAAATAAAGATAAAAAAGGGGGAACATGACTGAAAAAGCAACACAAATACAATAGGTTAACAGTGGTGATTAAAAAAAAAAAAAAAAAAAATTTACAGACATAGGTGGACAATAGAGGAGTGAGGTAGGTTACAGGGAATTTATTAGGTAGTGTTTAGTTTTTTTCTTAAACTGGTTGAGAGAGGTACAGTCTTTAACATGGTTGGGAAGGTCATTCCACATTCTGGGTCCCTTGATTTGTAGAGCATTTCTAGTTTGATTAAGTCGTACTCTAGGAATATCAAAACTGTATTTATTTCTGGTGTGGTGCTCATGGGTTCTGTTACAACCTTCAATGAAGCTTTTGAGGTCAGGATTGACATTACAGTTCAGCGTTTTATATATGTATAATACACAAGAGAGAATGTGCAGTGACTTAATATCTAACATATTCAGAGATTTGAGTAAGGGTACCGAGTGATGTCTGGGGCCAGAGTTGGATATTGTCCTAATAGCAGCTTTGTGTTGGGTAATAAGAGGACGTAAATGATTTTGGGTAGTAGAACCCCAAGCACAAATACCATAGTTGAGGTATGGATAGATGAGGGAGTAATAGAGAGTAACCAGGGCAGGGCGGGGTACATAATATCTGATCTTAGAAAGAATGCCAACAGTTTTTGAAACTTTTTTTGATATATTTAGAATGTGACCCTGGAAATTCAGCTTGTGGTCGATGAGAACGCCAAGGAATTTGCCATCTAATTTGTTACAAATTTGGGTATTGTTTATTTTGAGATTTATCTGATTAGAGGATTTATTGCCAAACAGAATATAAAACGTTTTGTCAATGTTAAGGGTGAGTTTGTTGGCGGTTAGCCAAAGATGGACTTTCTCTAGCTCAGTATTTACTGTGGCATTTAGAGCAAGGGGGTCAGGACTGGAGTAAATGAAGGTTGTGTCGTCACCAAATAGAATTGGTTTGAGGTGTTGGGAGGCATTTGGAAGGTCATTAATGTAGATGAGAAAGAGGAGAGGGCCAAGTATGCTGCTCTGAGGAACACCAATGTTGATGGGTAGGGTGGGAGAAATTGTATTATTCACAGAAACATACTGGAGCCTGTCAGTAAGATAAGATTTGAGGTATTGCAGGGAGTGTCCTCTGACTCCATAATGATGTAATTTAAGAAGAAGGTTTTGATGGTTGACAGTGTCAAAAGCCTTACGCAGGTCCACAAATAACCCAACAGGAAAATCCTTTTTATCAAGAGCTGGGTGAATTAAGTTAATCATACTAATAAGTGCATCGTTAGTGCTTTTTTTGGGTCTGAAGCCATATTGACAAGAGCTAAGTATATTGTGTTTGGCTAGAAAAGAGTAAAGCTGCTTGTAGATTAGTTTTTCAAATATTTTTGACAAGTTAGGCAGGATTGATATAGGTCTGTAGTTGTTAACATCTGTGAGATCACCACATTTGTGGACAGGGTTACTCTTGCTTTTTTTAGAATGTCAGGAAAGGTTTGGAGTTCAAGTGACTTGTTGAAGAGCAATGCAATAGCAGGGGCTAGAGATCTGGAGGCTTTTTTGTAAATTAAAGTTGGTATCTCCTCGAGGGCACTAGACTTGGTTTTAAGGGAAAGGATTATTTCATCTATCTATCATTCATATATATATATATATATATATATATATATATATATATATATATATATATATATATATATATATATATATATATATATATATATATATGTATGATGTGTGCCCCCCAGGCATACCAAAATCATATACCTGTATATGATTTGCACCCTCCAAGGGGTTAAAAACATATCATGAGATTAAAAAATGTTTGATAAAACGTAATATCATGAGATTAAAAAGAGGTTTTATAAAACCTTAAAAAGACTTAAAACTCATCTTGGCCTCATGTTAACATTTCTAAATGTCAAAAAACATTTATAAAACGTTATTCAAACCAAACTTTGTGATTTTTAAAAATGTTTTTAAATTAAAAATTTCATGCTGGGAAAACATCAGCAAGAAGTCTGCCAGAATACATGCAGTTTTTTTATCAGAGTGGCATCTAAGCTATACCAGACTTTTACCTCAGTGGTATCTAAGCTATATATCAGACCCTTATCTCAGTGGAATCTAAGTTACACCAAACACTTACCTTAGTGGTCTTAGTTATCCTAACATTTGCTTCATGTGTATCTGAGTTATACTGTGTGACAATGTGCAACCAGCTCAGAGCTAGTAATAACTATCTTAAATTTAAAAAATTACATTTTAAAAAATATAAAAGCAAACATTAGCTTGGTAATAGGGTTTTAGATAAATAGGATCTGTCTCCTATTGACCGGTAGACCAAATGCCTTCTGGTCATTAAGACCAGTAGGTCTTCTGCTGTCGTCTATTGCTTCTTATGTTCTTAAGTTTTTAAGTGATAATTTGAGATTTAGGCATCACTGGGTGAATCTGTTTAGATTGTCGTCAAGTTGGGGTAAATATTTTGTATGCAGGAGGTGAAGGTTAAGCACAAGGCTAGTTTTGGTGCTGATTTTGAGAAACTGTCCTGGGGAGGATATTTCTGGGGCAGTGTATTACCAAGGTGGGCCTAGAGAAACGTCTTGTTGAGTCTTACAGTCCTGTAAGATAGCTAGCTTTGTATTGTGTGATGAGGGAAGGTGGAAACAAGTTGGGATGTCAAGAATGGAGGCACCTTCTTGTCAATATGTATATTCAGTGATGCAGTTGAATAGACAAATGGTGGCAATCTCTCTTCTCATGGCAAAACTTGTAAGGAATTATTCTCCTAAAGGCTAGAGAAATGAGATAAACATGATACTGGTATGCTTATGACCATGGCAAATACTTCATTATGGCATGAGCAATTGCTTGGCTTTTATTTTGTATTTGTTAATTTCTACCCAAATTTGAAGTGTTAGTGAGAATAAAATAAAACAATGGAAAGCAACAAAACGTTGCTAAGTAGATCCTATATGTATACAAAACAAAGTATATTTAGTTTATCACGAATTCTTGTTTGAAACTCATGAATTCTTGTTTGAAACATTTGTCTATCAACATGAAGCCTAACCAAGCTGTACATTTGCAGGTGGTACCATCTTTGTTTCACCTATAACCACCTCACCTTCTTGATTAAAACCTTTCTTGATGGAGTGGGTGTGAGAAACAGTTCCTATAACATCAACCGGCCGGCTTTTGGTGACTATGTTGCTGTGGGTAATGGCCAGGCTGCCCCAGACAGCTTCAGTGGGGACATTACTCAGGTAAGTGCATTCATTAAGAGTCATGTATTTCTCTGTAAATTCCTGTCACGAAGGTTCTTAGGAACTCTGCAAGAAGGCCCTAATGCAAAATTAAAGGTGTTTGTATGCTGCTATTAGCAGTTTATTCACCTCCACCATTTAGTATCACAACCTAGTAAGCAAATACGTTATATGTATTCTTTAAATAACACTACAAGGTTGTTGGGTGGCTTTCGATACCTCTGGTACGAACCAGAGAAACTTTCATTAAAACATTTATATCTTTGCTCTCAGATAAGTTATATTTCATGTGATGCATTCATAATAACTCTTATGTTTGTCTTCTTGATGGTATATGAAACTAAATATTATTAACGATTCTCTGTTGATTACAGATTCGTCAAAGAATGTGTAGGGCTTGGTGCTTGGAGGGTTTAGACAGGTAGCATTTAGAAATATTGTATATCTGTATTATAAGTGAGAATGTGTCTACCTGTCTGTCCAAAATTAGAGGCCTTGGGGCTAGGCTCACCCAAGCTGTCAGAGGGAATGGGAATGAGTCAACTACCAGAAGGCTGACTCGAGCACCCAGTATCTACCTAACAAGGATAGTTGTAATTGTTTCATATGTTATTAATTTTATGTCTTCTTATTGACGTGTCGTAGTTTCTTCCAGAGTATATCAGTTATATTGTTAGATATATTGTTGTTAGATATTATTGCTCTGAATATTGTTAGACATTAAGTCACTGCACATTCTCTCATGTGTATTATACATATATAAAATGCTAAACTATAATGCCAATCCTGATCTCAAAAGCTTCATAGAAGGTTGTATCAGAACCCATGAGCATCACACCAGAAATAAATACAGTTTTGATATTCCTAGAGTACGACTTAATCAAACTAGAAATGCTCTACAAATCAAGGGGCCCAGAATGTGGAATGACCTTCCCAACCATGTTAAAGACTGTACCTCTCTCAACCAGTTTAAGTTAAAAGTGAAGCTATACCTAATAAATTCCCTGTAACCTACCTTACCCTTCTATTGTCAACCAATGTCTGTTTTTTTCTTTAAAGAGCGCTGTTTGTCGACATAATTGTATTTGTGCTGCTTTTTCATCTATGTTTTCATTTCTTGTTTTCATTCTACTCATTATGCTCAATTAGTATTAAGCTTGTCATTAAAGTTTATCATGCCCGAAACGCTTTGCGTAATAGTGGCTTTAGGCATTGTATGTACTAGCTATACCTATAAGTTAAACAATCCTTGTAAATATTTATTGTATGTATGTACCTTACCTAAATAAAATTGTATTGTATTGTATTGTATATAGTGGGGTCTTTACCTCAACCTATGCAAGTGGATAATTACTTGCTGCATTATTTACATGCCATAATATCTCTATAAAAATAAAATTGTTTATTGGTTGTTATATGTAAGATAACCTAACACTCAGAGAACTATAGTAATTGTTTAGGCTAGGCTATTAATATTCATTGTTTGAAGTGTATGTGCATGGCAACGAACCGACGCCTCACTTCCTATAACCTAAATATAAATGTTAAAACTTTAATGTGGGACTTCTCAGCAGCTGCAGGCAAGAATGAGTAGTATACCTGCATTTTATAACCTCCTCACCCATCAGTAAACTAAGTGACAAGGATACGCTAATCCCAGCTGTGAGTTGCATTCTTCATTTTTTAAATAATTAATGGTAGACTTCCTAGAGTATTCATAGTAGTGAACTGTGTATATTTGAATGATCTGAACCTTCAGAGTTTTGAGATTTATTAGTACCCAGCTAGAAGTGTTCTGGTATTTTTGTTATTTTTAGTATTAATATAGTAGTATTAAGAGTATATTTTATTCATATTCTGCATAAAGGATAAGATTGGGAAAAAGTGTTGAAGTACAAAAAAAATCTGTCAATCTATCCCTCTATCTATATGCATCCACCTCTCCATCCATCTACTTTCTGTCTCTTTCTCTGTATATCTCTTGCTGTTTGCCTCTGTGTGCTCTTTGTATGTTGGTCTCTGTATCTGTCTGTCTTTCTCTTATAAAATATGAAATTGTCTAATGTTTGGGTGGTCGCCAGTGAGAGGAGTTTAGTGGTGTTAAATATTTAAAAAAGTTATTCTTTACTCTGATAAAATACTGTGGCTTGAGAAACCTTTGAAGCTGTGGAAGAATCGCCTGTTTTATGCAAGTACGGGCAAATTATCGACAGCAGGACATTTCTATTAATTTACCTGAGATCAGTGTATAATAGTGCATATTGCCATAAAAAGACAATGTGTTTTAAAGCGTTTGCTTTGAAAATATTTAGCTGCGTAGCTGGCGAGTGGTGCTAAAAATCGTCATTGGGGATCTGAATGTGATCCTGGCACACTGTTCCCTTTTGAATTCTGGCAACTATTTATTTTATTTATTTATTTATGCATATACAAGAATGTACATAAGGAATGTGAGGATACAATTATGGTAATTACAGTCTTGTAAAGCCACTAGCACGCACAGCGTTTCGGGCAGGTCCTTAATCTAAGAAAATTTTAAGGAGGTAAATACTTGCAAAATTTATAGACAAAAAATGATAACAGATTACATGGAATGAAAAAAAAGATGAGAGAAAATTATAGGTACAGTATATTAAAGCACATAGGTAGCTATGATTGATTGCAATGACAGCTTAAAATGGTAGTTGACAACAAATTGGTAGGCACAATACAGCAGAAACAATATAAGATTGATTGCAATGACAGCTTGAATGGTAGTTGATAAAAAATTGGTAGTCACAATACAGCATATGGCTAGCACATAAAAGAAGACAGCAATGAACACAATGATAAGGTTGTTTGATATTACATAAAAATTAGGAGATTGGGTAACACTAGGTACAGAGCAAATTTAAAGCTCAGTGTAGGAAACTAAATAGATGAAGTTAGGTACTTTTTGGTTTTGCTTTTAAATAAGGCAAAAGTTTTACAGTTTTTCAATTCACTAGGGAGTGAGTTCCATAGACTAGGTCCCTTAATTTGCATAGAGTGTTTACACAGATTAAGTTTGACCCTGGGGATATCAAAGAGATATTTATTTCTGGTGTGGTGATAATGGGTCCTATTACATCTGTCCAGGGAGAGTTTCAGAGCATGGTTTGCATTTAAGAACAGGGTTTTGTAAATGTAGTTGACACAAGAGAATGTGTGGAGGGAGTTAATATTTAGCAAGTTTAGGGATTTAAACAAGGGAGCTGAGTGTTGTCTGAAAGCAGAGTTAGTTATTATTCTGATAGCAGATTTTTGCTGTGTGATGATGGGCTTAAGGTGGTTTGCAGTGGTAGACCCCCATGCACAGATACCATAATTAAGATAGGGGTAGATTAGTGCATAATATAGTGAGAGGAGAGCAGAGTTAGGAACATAATATCTGATTTTGGAGAGTATACCAACTGTCTTAGAGACTTTCTTAGTTATGTGTTGAATGTGGGTGCTGAAGTTGAGTCTCTTGTCTAGGAATAGGCCAAGAAACTTGCCATCATTTTTATTACTGATGTTAATGTTGTCTATCTGTAGCTGAATTGCATTTGATGATTTGCTTCCAAATAAGATGTAGTAAGTCTTTTCGATGTTTAATGTTAGTTTGTTCGTTGACATCCATAAGTGGACTTTTTTTAATTCATTATTCACAACATTATTTAGTGTATGTGGGTTGAGGTTTGAGTAGATAAGGGTAGTATCGTCAGCAAACAATATAGGTTTGAGAATATTAGAGACATTAGGCAGATCGTTTATATATATAAGAAATAGAAGAGGTCCTAAGATGCTGCCCTGTGGCACTCCAACGGTAATTGGTAGAGTGGAAGAAGTTGTATCATTGATGGTTACATATTGGTGTCTGTCACTAAGATAGGATCGGATGTAGTCAAGGGCAAGGCCTCGGATTCCATAATGCTGGAGTTTAAGTAAGAGGTAGTTGTGATTAACAGTATCAAAGGCTTTTCTTAGGTCAATGAAGAGTCCAATCGGAAACTCATTTTTGTCAAGGGCTGAGTAGATAATGTCAAGGAGACTAATGATTGCATCATTGGTACTCTTTTGGGACCGGAAGCCAAACTGGCAGGGGCTGAGTATGTCGAATTTTACGAGGTAGGAATAGAGCTGTTTGTAAATAATTTTTTCAAATATTTTTGATAGAATGGGTAGATTTGATATTGGTCTATAATTGTTTATGTCCGCCGGATTGCCTCCTTTATGGACTGGCGTTACTCTTGCTTTTTTGAGGATATCAGGGAAGGTGTGACACTCTATAGATTTGTTGAACAGTAGTGCTATGGGTGGGGCAAGGGCATGGGAGGCTCTCTTGTACACAATGGACGGAATTTCACTGGTGTTCCCTGCCTTGGTTTTTAGAGAGTGTATGATGGACACAACATCTGCCGGGCTGATTGGTGAAAGGAGAAGAGAGTTTGGATAGCTGCCTGAGAGATATGTGTTAATATGTGTCTGAGTCTGTGGGATTTTACTGGCAAGATTAGCACCAACCGATGAAAAGAAACTATTAAATTCATTTGCCATTTCTAAATCAGTTGACGGTATATCCCCATCCTTGTAGAGTTTTATTTGGTTATGTGAGTGTTGTTTAGTTCCTAGGATACTAGAGATAGTTTTCCAAGTGTTTTTCATGTTGCCTTTTGCTTCATTGAATCTATTCACATAATATGCAAGTTTTGCCTTTCTTATGATACTGGTAAGCATTGATGAGTACCTTTTAGCTACTTCCTTTGAAACTAGGCCAATCCTAACTTTCTTTTCATATTCATGTTTCTTGTTGATTGAGTTGAGAATGCCACTTGTGAGCCATGGATTGTTTAATCTTTTGTCAGTTACTTGCTTTGTAAGAAGGGGACAATGAAGGTTGTAGAGGCTTAGAGTTTTGGAGAGGAAGAGGTTAGCTAATGAATTTATATCATGGGTATTATTGAATTCAGAATCCCAGTTAATATTGTGAAGTGCCTCTGTAAGATTGTCTAAAGCTGATTCACTGTGTAGCCTAAATGAAAGTTTCTTGCTTTTTGGTGGTGTTATGTCCATGTTCGCTATGAGAAAGGTAGGATAGTGGTCAGTTGTTCTGTCGTAGATTATACCAGATACAAGGGGAGCTGTTATGTTTGTCCATATGTGGTCCAAGGTAGTGGCTGATGTTTGAGTGACTCGGGTAGGTTTGGTGATAGTGGGGATTAGCATACAGGAGTTCATGCTGTTAAGGAAATAGTCAACTTGAGAGCAATTTTGTTGACCCAGGTCAATATTAAAGTCTCCTCCCAGAATGATGTGGTTTTTGTTGAGATTGTTGTTTATAATAAGATTCCTTAGGTTGTCTGAGAAAGAAGCTATGTTAGTATTAGGAAATCTATAGATGGCTCCCATAGTCAAAGAGGATTTAAGGGATTTAATTGTAAACTGAGCAAAAGTATATTCACAGTAGTCATCTCTGTCACTAATAACACTGTTGCAGATAAATGTATCTCGGTAATATATAGCTGTGCCACCACCTTTTTTATTAGGCCTACAGTTATGAATGGCTTTATAACCAGCTAAGTTGTAGAGTTGGGTATAGTCTTTATTTAGCCAAGTTTCTGTTAAAATAATGAACGATAGCTTAGTACCTAGTGCTGTGAGTAGTGCATTTAAATCGTCAAAATGTTTACCAAGTGATCTAACATTTTGGTTATAAACTGATAGATAGGTGCTATTTTGGAGTTTGTTTTTAGCCTGGTGTGCTGTGAAATACTTGCAATAATGATGATCAATGTGCTGGTTGGTATAGATATGAGACAGAAGATTTTGATCAGGATCAATATCAGTGTGCATAGAGATGCAGAGGGATCACGATACAAGATACACGATAAAGCAAAACACAAGAATAAGAGCAGATACAATAAAATAGTAACAATTTAGAAGTAAAATAAAGATCCAATAGATAGCCAGGGAGGACACAGAAGTTACATAAAATAAAACACAAAAAATCAGTAGAGACTGACAATATAAATGTAAAATAAAAAATAATAAGAAAAATAATAATCATAAAAAAAAATGATCTTGAAGATAATTAGCTTGCATATTGGTACTTTCGACCAAATAGTTATTATAACTACTTTCATTTTAGGTGGATTGGTGGCTATTTTACTGCTACTCTCTCTCTCTCCATATTTGTATTGTTTATGATTCCTTGTACAGCATTCCTATCCCCCCCTCCTGATCCACTCCTTTTTTCCCTCTGTCATTCTACCACTATTGCTCTTTATCTTTCTAGTAAGTTTCTAGTTTCTTCTTTTTTCTTTCCTTTATCTTCTACTTTCTTTCTTTCTTTATTTTCTTTATCTTTCTTCTTTTCCTGCTCAAAATGCTATGCATGTTAGTAGCTTTGCAAAAATGTAAAAACATTAATGCTATGTATTCTCATAAACCCAATGTACCTTCTTGTATATATAAATAGAAAAAAATAAAATTGTAGGTAGATGGAACTCCTTCCTGCTTCTTGGGAATTGACTGCATACACTGTTGTTTCTTGCAATGCTTTCTTAACCTCTGGGTCTCTTTTCGTAAAGTACTTATATATGAGCTTCTCAAAAGCTCACATTCGTGTGTGTGTAAATAATAAATAAATAAATATGTTTATTCAGGAAAGGTACATACATACAAGTGATGTTACATTAATGGATCGATATATAGATAGAGCTAGTACATACAATGCCTAAAGCCACTATTACGCAATGCGTTTCGGGCAGGAAAACCATTAATATCTAGAACTTAATACTAATTGAGCATAAAGAATAAAATGTGTTGAGAACAAATACAAATAAAGATAAAAAAAGGGGGAACATGACTGAAAAAGCAGCACAAATACAATAGGTTGACAGTGTTGATTGAAAAAAAAAAAAAATAACAGACATGGGTTGACAATAGAGGGTTAAGGTAGGTTACAGGGAATTTATTAGGTAGTGTTTAGTTTTTATCTTAAACTGGTTGAGAGAGGTACAGTCTTTAAATTAACATGGTTGGGAAGATCAGTCCACATTCTGGGTCCCTTGATTTGTAGAGCATTTCTAGTTTGATTAAGTCGTACTCTTGGAATATCAAAACTGTATTTATTTCTGGTGTGGTGCTCTTGTGTTCTGTTACAACCTTCAATGAAGCTTTTGAGGTCAGGATTGGCATTACAGTTCAGCGTTTTATATATGTATAATACACAAGAGAGAATGTGCAGTGACTTAATATCTAACATATTCAGAGATTTGAGTTGGGGTACCGAGTGATGTCTGGGGCTAGAGTTGGATATTGTCCTAATAGCAGCTTTGTGTTGAGTAATTAGAGGACGTAAATGATTTTGGGTAGTAGAACCCCAAGCACAAATACCATAGTTGAGATATGGATAGATGAGGGAGTAATAGAGAGTAACCAGGGCAGGGCGGGGTACAAAATATCTGATCTTAGAAAGAATGCCAACAGTTTTTGAAACTTTTTTTGATAGATTTAGAATGTGTCCCTGGAAATTCAGCTTTTGATCAATAAGAACGCCAAGGAATTTTCCATCTAATTTGTTACAAATTTGGGTATTGTTTATTTTGAGATTTATTTGATTAGAGGATTTATTGCCTCACACATTCTTCCCTCACATTACATTATTACACTCATTACACACACATTAGTGTGTGTAATGAGAGATGTGCTCAAATTATAAATAATCAAGTTGTCACAATAGTTAAGAATAACTTAACTTTTGTGAAACTGAGCAACTATTTTTAATGTGAATAAACATTATCTTCCTATTCTGTATTTTTTCCGTATTTGTTTTTCAAAATCCTAAAATGAAATCTCATAAACTATTTACTTGCAGGTCAATGTTTGGGACAGTATACTAGGTGATACAGACATCCAGAAGATGGCAGCCTGCCAAACTGACCCCAAGGGAAACTTCCTCTCGTGGGAGGCGGGCTGGACGCTCCACAACGTAACTTCTTATGACATGTCTCTGGACAAATTTTGTAATCAAGAAGTGGGCAATATTTACTTCTGGTTTCCTGATGTTACAGATGACACCGCTCAGTACCTGTGTGAAGCTCTGGGCACTCACCTGCCACTCGTAAAAAGCTTGCAAGATGCCCGGCATCTGTATCAACTCTTGGAGACCATGTGGCCTAATGGTGACCATTGTCCTGTCTACATCTGGAGTCCTCTCAATGATAAGAAGCAAGAGAATGTTTGGGTAGCTTCTTATGACAAGAATTATATTGATAACTCCACCTACTGGTCACCAGATGAGCCTAATGGTTATAGATATGAAAACTGTGGAGCAATAAATCTAGACGGCCATATTGACGATGACTGCTCCTGGCGTAGGTGCGCACTCTGCACATTTACTGAACCCAAGAGATTTTCCTTGCTAGGGACATGTGAGCCAGAACTGCGTAACATTTACTTTGTCGCGTACCAAGAGGAATACGGTGGTTTGATCTTCAGGAGTTACGGATCAAACCACATTAAGAAAGTGAATGGGACATGGATTTACATCAATGCAGTGCAGGACTACATCATAGCCAAGATGGAAGAATTTGATCCCGACTTTCCAATGGGGCGCAGATGGTGGCAGCTGGAGAGAGAGGTGTGCGGCCAGCCAAGCGGTGGTCGACGTCTCATGCTACTCACACCTTGTCTCTCTAACCATTATACATGTGATGACGGGACCTGCATCCCTCACCACTATCGCTGTGATCTCAAATATGATTGTAGAGATCTAAGCGATGAGCTGGAATGCGAGCTCATCTTATTCCCCAAAGATTACCACCAGAATCTTCCTCCAAGAGTGCCTGGGAAGGAGGACTCGAAGCTTCCAGTTGTCATAAATGTTATCATTAAATCCATAGATGTCCAGACGGTAGCGATGTCCATGAAATTATCTTATGAAATAGAAATGATATGGTTTGATAACAGGCTTCAGTATTATAATTTGAAGTCAAATGACAGCCTAAACAGCCCAACCGTAGACGTGATGATGAAGCTGTGGTCGCCGCTGGTGAAGCTTCTCAACACTGACACCATCGACCAAACACTCTTGGCCGCAGATACCAACACTTTTGTCAAAAGACTCACTCAGCCCTTGGGAAGGGACGAGGGAGCTGCAGGCGAAGGTTAGTCACCTCTTTGGAAACATTATTATTATATATATATATATATATATATATATATATATATATATATATATATATATATACATATATATATATATATATATATATATATATATATATATATATATATATGCTATTAGCATATGTAAACTCTCAGTTGATTGATACAAATATATTAAATATTTTGTCATTATTATCAATGTGCCATTTGGTGTTATTGTGAGCTAAATATTGACAAGCTTATGATGTATTGCTTCAGTGGACATGTATTCCGGAGAAGAGAACCCCATATCTGTGAGCAGGAAGTACAGCACAGTGTACGCCTGTCAGTTCGACCTCACACTCTACCCCTTCGACAACCAGCACTGTGACATCCACCTTCAGATCGTGTCTGGCCAGGTGTCCTTCCTCGAAGTCCACTCTAACTCCACCGTTGTCTACTTGGGAAGCAATGTCCTCAATGAATACAAGGTCAGCACCTGAACTCCCTCCAAGAGTCCAATTTACATTTTCATATTAAATATTTTGAGTATATTTTCAATGAGTAAATAGCGTGTATATTATAATATAGCTGGTTTATACATGGTTGAGCGGCTTGTGTGTGCCTCAGATCGGGGACGTGAAGGTGCTCCTGAGGAAGGACTACCTGGCAGGCGAGGCTCGGGTCCGGGTGCCCATGACGCGACAGTTTGGTAACTCCATCCTCAACATCTACATTCCTTCCCTCATCCTCATGATCATCAGCTACCTCACCTTCTACTTCAGAACCTCCCTCTTCGACGTGCGAGTCATGGTCACTCTCACGGCCCTTCTCGTCCTCGCTACACTCTTCGCTCAGGTCCGTTCATACAATTACTCTGGGTCCGTCTAATTACCAAAAACTACCACATACTACACACGCTTCAGAAAACTTCCTGGCAATACGTTAGTAATGAATAAATATGATATATTAAGTTAGGCTGACCTAACCTGACCTAACCTAACCTAACCTAACCTATCCTAACCTAACCTAACCTAACCTAACCTAACCTAACCTAACTTAACCAAACCTAACCTAACCTAACCGAAGCTTGGATCGTCGACTTGATTTGGCGTCACCAGCTTTTTATTTTCGTCTAATTTCTTTATAAAAAGATACTTTTTCAGATTAAAATTATGTTTTTTCGTGTTGTACATTCAGCACCAACATTATAATGAGTAAATATATCATATTTATTCATTACTAACGTATTGCCAGGAAGTTTTCTGTAGCGTGTGTAGTATGTGGTAGTTTTTGGTAATTAGACGGACCGATTACTCTCAACCAGTTCACATAAGCACAGTCAAATATGATGAAACGCTCAACTGATTTGTTTTCTGTTGGGAGCCCTGTCGGCTCCCTGAAGCTATTTATTTATTTATTTATTTATTTATGCATATACAAGAATGTACATAAGGAATGTGAGGATACAAATATGGTAATTACAGTCTTGTAAAGCCACTAGCACCCGCAGCGTTTCGGGCAGGTCCTTAATCTAAGAAAATTTTAAAGAGGTAAATACTTGCAAAATTTATAGACAAAAAAATGATAACAGATTACATGGAATGAAAAAAAAATATGAGAGAAAATTATAGGTACAGTATATTAAAGCACATAGGTAGCTATGATTGATTGCAATGACAGCTTAAAATGGTAGTTGACAACAAATTGGTAGGCACAATACAGCAGAAACAATATAAGATTGATTGCAATGACAGCTTGAATGGTAGTTGACAAAAATTGGTAGTCACAATACAGCATATGGCTAGCACATAAAAGAAGACAGCAATGAACACAATGATAAGGTTGTTTGATATTACATAAAAATTAGGAGATTGGGTAACACTAGGTACAGAGCAAATTTAAAGCTCAGTGTAGGAAACTAAATAGATGAAGTTAGGTACTTTTTGGTTTTGCTTTTAAATAAGGCAAAAGTTTTACAGTTTTTCAATTCACTAGGGAGTGAGTTCCATAGACTAGGTCCCTTAATTTGCATAGAGTGTTTACACAGATTAAGTTTGACCCTGGGGATATCAAAGAGATATTTATTTCTGGTGTGGTGATAATGGGTCCTATTACATCTGTCCAGGGAGAGTTTCAGAGCATGGTTTGCATTTAAGAACAGGGTTTTGTAAATGTAGTTGACACAAGAGAATGTGTGGAGGGAGTTAATATTTAGCAAGTTTAGGGATTTAAACAAGGGAGCTGAGTGTTGTCTGAAAGCAGAGTTAGTTATAATTCTGATAGCAGACTTTTGCTGTGTGATGATGGGCTTAAGGTGGTTTGCAGTGGTAGACCCCCATGCACAGATACCATAATTAAGATAGGCATTCAAACTGACATGTGCCATATTAGTTTGGTGTCATCATTTCCAGAAATTAGAGTGCCTACTGGAGATCAGCACCAGAACCTGGTCCCTCAGAGAGGCATAGGGAGCAATGGCCAGTATGAGCACTCTACATTTAGTTTGTCATGTCTGCCAACGACTGGGGAATACCACCTGAAAGGTAGGCTAAACAATACAAATCTCTAACTGGTTAAAATTGCGACCTACGTCTGAAGAGCCAAAGATCTGTCCCAAAATAGAACAATGAATCATCATCCCAATAGCACGCCCATTCATTAGCACCCCCTTTCCTCGACAGGGAGGGAGAGGGAGTCCGCTCAGGTGAGCCAGCCCACAGCCAATATTTATAATATCTATATATCTAAGTAAACAAATTGTTTACAGTGGCTTAAGCCACCATGTCCATTACCTAGTAAGCATTCATAACATACTAGTAACAGTTCTGTGTCAAAAACCACAGTACTTAATTTTATCAGTGTCAGACACAGTTACAGCTTACTTATACAGTATATACCATTATATACCTCAATTGTGGTAACATGTATACACACATTAAGTGTGTTATCTAGCATTATCTGCAATTAACTGATTTTCAGAGCTGCTCATTAAAAAATACTCTTTAAAAAAGTGCTTTTAACACAGTAAGACCATATCATTACAATATATTCATAATCAACTGTATCAAACCCTATTACAGGTAAAACCAGTAGGCATTTTACTGTATTTTATCAAACCTCTATTAGGGTGATAGATCTTCTAATAATTTTGCAAAAATAGTGCCATTTACTATTTTTTTTTTAAATTATTACAAAATTTACCGATTTGGTGCATTCGGTGCATTTGGATGACAAACCAAATTATTACACTTGACAATTGAGCACCTGTTACATCCAGAATCCAGGGAGGAAAGGAAGGACGATCTTTGGAATCATTACCTAAGTAGACAGGAAAGCTCATTTATCAAAATACATTAACATTGTACATATTCTTATTAAAAAAGAGAAAATATCTCCGAAACTCGGAAAAATCCAGATGACGGCAATTCTTCACCTGCTACAGAAACAGGAAAGAAAAGGACACTTATAAAGTGTTAAAAAATCACTTGACTCGACTGATTGACAAATGTCAAAAGTTAGCTAATCAAGTATCTCTTGATTTAATCATCATGAATAACAAAATTAAAACAGCTGTTGAAAAATTTGATAAAATTCAATGCCTTTCTGAGACTTATTTAGCAGAAAGAGTTAATGCTGATTTAACCCAAAGGGAACTTCAGGATACCAGAGCTGAAACAGCAATTTATGAAAATAAAATCTAGGATCAACTAGATCCTTTAATCAAACCTGCATTACCAGCAGTACCCCAACCAAATGTGAGCACATATCATGCACTCAGTTGGTACCTCAACTATCCCATATGTAACAGCCGAGCTCCCAAAGGTACAATTACCATGTTTTTAGGGCCAAGTAAGAAGGCATTACAGATCATTGTAAATTTGTCATTAACAGATGAAGATTATGATAAAGCCATACAATTGATACATGCTAAGTACAGTGGATACTAGTCAAGAAACCTGAAGGCCTACTGGCGACTTCTATCAGTTGAATGACAAAGTCATCACTTAGCTAAACAGCAAATCATTAACCTTAATCTACAGCCTACAGGTCATTTAAATCAGGTGATAGACAAACGTCATCATCACTTGGCTACAATAGTCTACCATTGGGGATTAAGACCAATCTTAATCTCAAATCACAATCTGATTGGCTAAACAGCCCCTCATCACTAATCTACAATCTTAAGGCTAACAGCACATTGACAATGTCAATCCAAGTATCAAATCAAATCAAATCAAATGTTTATTTAGGTAAGGTACATACATACAAGAGATTTTACAACGAGTGATGGATTTATAGAGAGGGCTAGTATATACAATGCCTAAAGCCACTATTACGCAAAGCGTTTCGGGCATGAAACACTTTGTATTATCATTCATCTAAGATAACTATCTTAATCCAAGAATATAATCTTGATCACCTAATCTCATGCTTTCACTGGAGTGAAAGCAGCCTCAGAAAATCTGAAGCCAATCAAGCATCTCAAAGAGAATTACTTAATAGAAAAGGCAAAGCCGAGAAAAAATAAAGCAAAATGCTTCATCACATCAAGAATAATGTAAATACACATTATAACAAATGCAATTCATCCTTTAAGGAAATCCTTGGAGGAGTACGAGTGTTACATGCTTGTATGACCTACTTGCATGTAATTACTTACCTACAAGTGTTACATACTTGTAGCAATGTCATATCACAAGAAAAAATCACTAAAGGTGAATCCACGGACAAAAATGTCCAAACTGACAATCAGAAATCAAGGCAACAACACTCCTCTTCTGCAAAGTGGAAAGAGTAATGTTGGCTCATATGCTATATCACCCACAGTTAACAGAACTGTAGGAAATCTAGCTCCCAAGACAGATAAAACAAAAGGAGCTAAAAGTGCATCAAGATGTTTATTCCGTCAGGAAGCACATACCTATCAAAGCACAGCGTATGCAGATGCAGACTGTGCCAACAGAATCAATAATAAATCTACTGTATATGTGTTACGGCCCTCTCGGGACGCAACGGGGTTCTTACTCTGATGTAGTTAGAGGAAGATATATATCCGGCCCCAAGCCAGTAGAGGCTATCAAGGGATGCGATCCGTGACGCAAGTAACTTAAAGGGAGTAGGGAAAGAAAGGTAAGAACTTAATATAATATAATGTTCACCATCACCATTTAAATATATAAAAGTAAAACGTACACAAGGGGGAGGGGTATTAACACTTTACAAAGGGGATCAACACTGTAGTCTTCTGCTGGAGACTATGGATCCTCGAAGCTAGGTGCTGAGTCCGCGGTGCTTTCTTCGTGGCCTCAAGACGTGTCCTCTGAGAACGCCGAGCCTACCCTGGCCACAGGTCAGCCACAACACAGGTCCACTGGGGGCACCGTCGTGGAGGCCGTCAACCACACGTCCAGCAGGTCTGCTGGCAGGTACTGAGCCACCAAGGCTGGTACGGCCACTCCACGAACGATAAAAGGGGTACGCCCTAGACAGGAGTCTCGTGTGATATCACCAATCACCCTCCTGTCCTCAATACCCCAGTGGATTATCGTCTCCAACCGTCGGTCCCGGGTAAATCCTTCCACTGCCACTCCACTGGCAGGCTTAACACACCACAGTGTTCTTCCGGGGGGACGACGTCACGACAGCTGCAGCAAACTTCACTGTATGGAGACTGGCTGCCTCGGGTAGACTGACTCCACCTTCAACACAGTGGTCCCAGGTCGGCTCTGTAAGCAGACACGTCATTAATAACCGGGACACTAATACACCACACTCACAGGCTCAGATACAAACGCCCGACATATCCACTCCATAGATGGCGCTGTCGTCGGAGCACCACCTCACCAGAGGTCAGG